AAAGATGGACATGTCCAATAAAAGATGGACATGTTCATAAAAAAATGGACATGTCCATTAAAAGATGAACATGTCCATCAAAAGATGGACATTTCCTTTAAAAGATGGACATGTTCTTCAAAAAATGGACATGTTCTTTAAAAAGATTGACAAGTTAAAAAAATGGCCTTATGTGAAAATCGGACATGGTATAATGGTTGCTAATTGATTGAACTATGATGTTTTATTATTTTACTTAAATTAACTTCCGTAGATTCTATGTGAAGTGGTCTGTGAAGCCGAGGGCAGCCTTACACGGGTGCACAGTGAATGCGCCCGCTTCGTTGGTGGAAGCGGAGCCAGGGACGTCTTGTCCAAGTCAAAGGCGTAAGCGTACACTATAATATTAACTATATTGCGATAAACGTTTGAAAAAAAAAAAAAAAAAAAAAAACTGAAGCTGATGGAAAAGAGATGTTTTGATTAAGCATGATCTATAATTTTATGAATTTACCGACTACAGCTGGTATTGCAATATAAATGTGACATTAGTAATGGAAGCGGCAAATATACTAATATCTGAAGAAAAACGTTTTTAATGTTCAAAACTATATGAATAATAAAATCATGATTGGTGCAGACAAAAAATCCTTTTAGTTAATAAAAAAAATAAAACGAGTTGTACATTATTGTTATGTAGGTCTGTTTCTAAAAGTTATTGCTCTAAGTAGCATATAAGATAACATAGACATGAGTGATTTACTTCTTAACCCATTCGCGATGGTTAAAAATAAACGAAAAATGAAGAAAATGCTGTGACTTCCTCTCACGCGAGGGTCCCACGATCGATTCCAACCGACGCCAAGTGATACATGTATCACGTAGGCGCTACTCTTTTTAATAAATTTTAATATAAAATTTTTAAATTTTAATAAATGGGGGGCGCGATGGTCCAGTGGTTAGAGCATCGAACTTGCATTCGTCGGCAAATCCAGGTTCGAGGGTTCGAGTCCCGGCCGGCGCGTTGTTCCCTTGGGCAAGGAGCTTCACCTTGGTTGCCCGATTGTGAATGGCCATATTCATTAAATATGATGAGCTCCTTTGTGAGCCAACGGCCATCCACACCTGGAGAGGAGATGGACGCCACCAGGTTGCTGTCCTATGAAACACAATGATGCACACGCCAAAGACTTCTAAGATCGGGACAGGTGGAAGAAGGAGGTGAACGCAGTGCCCCTACGGTCATGTGACTATGGGGATGAAAAAAAAAAGATGTGTGTACGTGTATACGTGTAAGTATGTGTGTGTGTGTGTGTGTGTGTGTGTGTGTGTAAGTATGTGTGTGTGTGTGTGACACATGTACATATACATATATATATATATATATATATATATATATATATATATATATATATATATATATATATATACATATATGTATGTATATATATATGTACATACTGCCGCGATAGCTCAGTAGTTAGAGCACTGGACTCCGACCCTCGTGGTCCCGAATTCAATTCCCCGTCGCGGCAGTCGTAAAAATGCCTGCGCTCTGACTGCTGTCTCGAGCCCGAGAAAACGACATATCGCCTTGAGAAGTCAAACGCAGGTGTCGTAGGGGAAGTCACCGCCGTAGCACAAGTGTTAACGCGCCGAACCACGGTTGATTAAGAAGGGCATTCAATCAGGCAAGGGTGACACCGCCATATAACCTCTCAACAGTGAATTGAGAGATGTATATATATAAATATATATATATATATGAATATATGTATATATATATATATATATATATATATATATAAATATACATATATATATATATATATATATATATATATATATATATATATGTATATATATATATATAGATTATATATTTATAAATATATATATACATATATATATATATATAAATATATATATATATATATATATATATATATATATATATATATATATATATATGTAGTGAGCTGACACCTCAGCTTCCTACTTGCCCCTGTGTCAGGCTGCATAAGATTTCTTAACAGCCCCCCCCCCCCCCTGACTATCCCTGGCGCCTGGCCGTGACGGAAGCAACTGTAGATGGCGCAGGAGGCGATGCTGCAGAGGACCTGCCTGCTGGCGAGCAAACAGGGACGCCTTGGACGGTTCTGACTGAGAAGGAGGATGGCATGATTTGTTAGACAGACTTTTGGCCCTCAAACACCTGGAATAACGCTGAAAGCTGGCGACAGAAAACGGAATACAGTTGTTTGGCGCCAGAGCCTGGTTGGCTAGCCAGCGTAATTTTATCTCATTTTATATTCAAAATCTTGTATATATTTTACGTTCCTTTTATTTATATGAAAAATGTCCTGTGTTTTTATTAAAGACCTCCTATGCAAATATCAAGTGAAAAGAGCAATCCCACGATAGATAAGCAGACGACGCTCTTAAGAACAACTAGTCTTTCTGCGCAGACTCCGGGATTATCGAACTTGGCGCACGACCTTGTTCGCATAATAGGTCGGGT